AGTGACCTACAGCTTGTAGTTTAAATGGTGTTAGAGTTACTGGATACATTCAAGTGAATTGCTAATTGCTAATTTAAATGAGTTGAATAACAGTGATCTTAATAATGGACTTACAGGAGAGACACACACACACACACACATTCTGGCCCTTAAATAATGTAAATTACTTTCAAATCCCTCATTAAGACGAGCAACTAAAATTGGTTAAACAATCATTCAAACCTCAATCCACTGTATCACCTTGGGCTTTGTGGTTGAGACTGGAGCAATTAGCTTTGTCGGTTTGAAAATTGATAAGCCCATTAGGCAATAAAAGATTGAAAGTGGAATGAGAAGAATCTCTCATGCTGATTGCCTATTTCCGTTCTGTCAGCGTGGTGTGGGTTTCAGGAAGAAGGCAACATGCTTTTTTTTTTTCTTTATTTTGGTAGTTTGTAAACTGGATTACGGGTTAGTCTGTGGCTCAGTGGCAGAGGGCTAGATTGGATTATGGGTATGAAGAGCAAAGCAGCATGGTGGAGAATGGATTACAGCCCCACTAGAGCTACTCTCTGGCCATTTAATCTTTTATACTTAGTAACAGGGGAAGCATATTCATGTATCCATGACCGATAACGGATTTCTCCAACCTTTCAAAACACTTGGCTGAATTACAAGTAAAAACGGACCTTTTGAGAGTTCAGAAAGAAAACCTTGCCGATGTGATGACATTTAATGTCATGAGTGGTTTATTTACAGGGTGTTAAAAACCAAAATGACAGGGTGACCTGTACATTTCACTTGCTTATAGCGTGTAATCAGCTATTTGCGGTGAAGAAAACCCAAGACGACATCTAAGACAATCCGCAGCGTGTTTGTGGGATCAAGCCTGCGTTGTGATTTTCCCTGAATCCGTTTTCTGTACAACCATCAGTGCCTCTAAACAAAGTTATCAAAAACATCTCATGCAAAAAGATACTCGGCAGGCCATTAGGTGACAGGATGTCGATGTGCCACTTATAACATCTTGACGAAGGCGGTTGAATTGGTCACTGATGAAAGTACCTCAATCTCTCTTCCAGTCATGCTCCATTCCTGTGGCCAGACGCTCGAGCCCCAGAGGACAACAAACGTCAATATGACTCGCCATGTGTGGATTACGTGCTTGGCAGGATCCGCTATTTATAATCACTTGACACAGTGAATGTGTCCAATGCGGTAATCATTTCGTAACCTCTCTGCTTTGTCAATACTGCAGACTGTGCGTAAGTGTGTGTATGTGCGGCTGATAAAGATGTTTCTGGCCTTCAGCTTATGACTGGCTTGAATACAAAGACTCTCGAATTTCCAAATTCCAAATCCAATTTCTCAGTGGAACATTTTGTAATCCTCAGCATTTAACTTGATCTAATATGTTGCTATTTTTAGAACAAATAAAGGAAAATAATTTTGGACTATTTATTGATTGGTATTGTAAATGGAAAATAACCACAGACTTAATGTTGTGTTTTGGTCATTTTGACCTAGAGAGGAATTTTCATTTTCCAAAGTTTTGATAATTTTTGTACTTTTCCCCACCATGATACACTTGTGGTGTTCTTGGTCAAAAATGACT